GGCGACTGAGTCCATGTCTAAAAACACACACACACACAAACTCAATACGAGCTAAAATTATAACAAAAATATTTTCCCTAGACAAATTATTCACAAAGAGTGAAATAATTTAAATAGCTTTTATAGTATAACACTTTCTTTTAAAAGAAAAAAAATAATTATCTTTACCTGTTTTTTACACTATGGTAACTAATTCTAAAAATGGTAGACATTATAAGAAATTTATGTTATTTATATTAGTTAAGTATATGCAAATATTGTATGGCATATGAACTTCGGTTAAACAAGATTGAACAAAAAGTAAATGTAATTAATGTAATTGATGCCTATAGATATTTGACCATACAGTAATGACATTGTATAGCAGATACCTTTCTCATTTAAGATATTTTCAGAGGCTTTTGGAACCTAACCCCCAGTTAATATGATAAACATTTCACTTTACTCTCTTTCCAAACATAATAATATTCCAGATTTATTCTGAATCACATTCATTATTCAAAATCCTGAAGAGAAAATTGGCCTGGTGCAGTGGTCTCAAGCCTGTAACCCTCACACTTTGGGAGGCCAAGGCGGGTGGATCATTTGAGCCCAGGAGTTAGAGACTAGCCTGGGTAAGATGATGAAACAACCTCTCTAGAAACGGGCATGCTGGCACACACTTATAGTCCCAGCTACTCAGGAGGCTGAGGTGGGAGGATCACTTGAATCCCAGAGGTGGAGGTTGTAGTGAGCCCAGATCATACCACTGCACTCCAGCCTGGGCGACTGTCTCAAAAAAAAGAAAGACAAATAAAAGAGTTAAGAAATAGCAATAAGTGTATATCTATGGACTTTCAATATGATTAGTACCTTTTGGTGACACATGTCTGAGCAAGTGGTTTTTCTTTTAGAGTTAAAAAAAGACCTTACAAAAGAAGATTAATGAGTTTATGTGTTTTGGTGCAAAATTAGCTTTTTGGAAGAAAGGGGTTCTTTAAATCTAAAATGTAATAGTATTATAATGTCATTTCCTTAGCATATACATTTTCTTCTGTCACTGTCCTTATATTGGCCAGTATTATCTGAACACGTCTGCCCCAGTTCCTCTCAGACTTTATCTCCTACTATTTGTTCCCACTCACTGACATCAATCCCATTGACCTCTTTGCTGCACTTTACCTTAGAAGCTTTGTGCTAGCCTCCCTCTACCTGTAGTCTTCTTCCCTGTTAAACCTGCAAGACTGACTTCTTACCTCCTAAAGTATTGACTCATACCTCACCTTTGCAATGCAACTACCTATTTAAAATTACTCTACTTCTTCATCTCCCTGACTACTTTTTATTTCCCCCAAAACACTTGTCACCTTCTAACTTACTCCTTAGCGTCCTCCAAAATACATGATAGGAATTTTTGGCATTTATTCCCTGGTAAGTGAACCAAAGGCAGTGTATACACTATTAGGTTCTAAGGCAGAAATTGACTTCTGTTTGTTGAACAGGAATATCCTCCACCAAAAGTACATTTTCCCCTATAATTATCCAGTTTTCAATTTCTTTGCCACACTTTCCAAAGAAAGCGCATTGACATAGAGGAAAATGTGTATGTTGAGGAAATGATACTATTTTGGATTTTAAAAGGTTCTTCCTCCCAGAAAGCTAACTTTGCATCAAAGCATATAAACTCATTAATCTTGTCTTTATCTCTGTTTGGTCTGGATAACCCAGTTTATTAAATGGTGAAGACTGGGACAGAAAAGGTGAAATGGCTTACACAGAATCGTACATATCGTTGGTAGAGCTGCTAAGAAAAACATCCAGATGTTCTCTTTGTTCAATACATCATTCTATATGCGGCTCTATTGGAGGTTTTCTCTCATCAATATAAGTCGTCACATCATCTGAGGTCATATCCAATGGCAAAGGAAATGAAGAGATAAATTTAAAACTAACCAGGCTTTTTATAACTCTTTTTGCCTTTCAATCTGAAGATGAAAAATATTATTTTTAGAGATGAGAAAGTGAGGCAGTTTCAGGCCTTTATCTGAAACAATATTGTATCTCTCTTGTCTCATCAGTCTTAGAGAATGAGCATAGTTTAAAATGACTGTAATTAAATATTGTCACTATGAAAAGAATATTAATTTTACAGCAGGTGAAAATAATGGAATAGTATGTAGCATGAGTGGGGGTAGAGGATACAGCTGTCTAATTTTGGTCTACTGGAACTAGTATAGATTTTCCTTCAAACTGAGCAGAAATGCAGCTCTTAGAGCATAGTAGCAACTTTCCTTTCTGCTTACAGATTTAAAGTTAAAGGCACAAGTTTAATATGCAGTCCATCCTGTGACTAATCCAGCAGGTTGCTCCTTCCGCTCTTGCTAATGCTACTACCTTGCTTCTAAGTGGACATTGGTACTTGGGGTATTTATTTTTCTGTATGCTTTGAAGTAGTTATGAATCTTCTGAGAACTAAAGAACTGGGATTCTCCAATGGCCTATTCTACACGAGCAGATGAGTGGTATTATTGTGGGGGTTGAGAAAGCGGCTGTAAACTTCTTTTCGTTAGGTGATTTAGCTTACCTTATTTCTTTTCTTTCCCCTCTTTAGTGGAAATTGTTCAAACTTCAGGAATGATTTAATATCTTCTTTCTGGACCCAATAATGCATCCTATAAGCTACATCAGCATTGTATTTTTTCCCCATGATACAGAAAGAGAATTTAAAAAAAGAAAAAAACAGAAGTATAACAATACCGTATTTATTAGAGTTTGAAACGTGGCCACTAATTTTAGTCAATATAATTTCAAATAGTTAAAAGCTTTGAAACATATTCATTTAATGAGTTTGTATGCCCGAAAGCTAAAATTGGATGTTTGGAAGAAAGTGAGGAAATTAATTTCAGTTTTTTTCCTTAGCCAGAACATTGCAAATTAAGGAAATGGTTTACTAGATCATTTTATCCCAGCTAATGAAACTTATTTTTCTTCCAGTTTGGTTTCTCTGTCAATTATTCAGAAATTAAAATATACTATATTGTAATATTAAATCTCCAGTATCTTCTAATTTGATATGAGGTTACCTTTATAGGTAATTATTAGAGGAAAGGTGAGATTTCTTTTCTACCTTCACCAGCCCCATTCCCTGCCTGCCTTGCCCCTAGCCACGTAGAGTCATCTAACTTAGGTAATTACTCTGTAAAGTCATATTCCTGAAGTCTGGAAGTCTTTCTGTTCAATGTGCTCCAACAAGCTGATTTACTTAAATTCAGTGCTTTGTGCCATTCCCATGAATCTGAGCTAATTATGCTGCCATTTTTCAGAGATGTGCATTAGAAGTCATGTGTGCCTAATTCTGAAAACGGCTTTGTACATTAAGGCTCATTTAACTAGCAATGGTTAGAGAGAAGTTAAGGGACTTAGAGTTACTGGTCTTAATTTTAAAATACAGTAGTAGTATGGAACTCTCTTGTACTGCAAGCATATAAGATGCTATGTTGTCAGCCTCTGAATCTTTAGGAATGTTCCAATTTGGCTTATGCCTTACCAGTCAAGATGTCACAGAGAAGGTGTGTTTAGTCATGGAAAAGAAAATCAGTGTCCAGCATGCAAAGATAGTACATTTTCATAGGAGGAATTGATTTGTGTGCATTACTGGGTCTATGTAAAATGGTGTCCTTTTGGCACTAGCTGAATATACATTTCAGTAAATGTTTTTTCTTGCTGCAGATTAGTGTAATACAGTGAAATTTTCAGTAACTGAGGGAAGGCAGTGGTTGGGCGTCTGTTAATAGCCCGAAAGTAACTAATGAGGATGTGCAGTCAGAACGATTGATTGAATAGCTGCAGTCCTGTGTGTTTCTTTCTTGCTTGCTCTCTCCGCAAGCTGTGGAGAGGGAGGGGGAAGAGCAAGACACAGAGAGGGAGCGAGAGAAAAAACGCTCTCTCTTAAGTGGAAGTAGCACGGATCCCAGGGGCCAGGAGGCCAGAAATGGAAGTTTAAACTGCATCTATCTTTTAAAGGGAGAACAGCAGGAATCAAAATGTCAGTCTGCGGAGTTACAGTTTACTCCTTATTTTCTAAGATCTGGAAGATAGCACAGAATACTTTTTTTAGGATGTGGCTTTTTTTTTCCTTGTCCATGTTGAGATTATCTAATGTTATCTGAGAAGCTGGATTCCTTTATGTCTGTCAGTTGAAGTGGCGATGGGAAGCAGTTGTGATAAAGGTATAATACCTATATATCTATCATCTATGTGTGCGTGTGTATGTGTATATATATACACATGTGTATATATATCACTCTATGAAAAAATCTTAAAAATGTAGCCTTAATACAGTATATAGTAATTAAATAGGAGAAGATCACATTATCTGCAAAATCCTCAGCTTGTTAGGTCAGTTTGAACAGATTTAGGATTCCAGAGTAAGATCTTAGTAAGGTCATATTGCCAGAACAAGGAGAAGCTGATCTATTTTTATATCTGCATAGGCATATATGTTATTTTATCTTGGCAGCAGCTTTCAGTCTTCTCATGGCCCTTTTGTTGCAGTCTGGTGAATCATCTTATCTGCACAGAACTAACTTTGACCTTTGTGCAAACACCATCAAATCATATGCAACATTAGACTATATTTTGTTCACAAGAATATTAGAATTTCCATTTTATTCTATTAACTCCTACATTGCTAACACATAGAGAAGTAGATTTATATACTGTGAGATGCAACTACTAAGTGAACTTAAAGATATTAAACATAGCTCAGAGGAAATTATTTTTATATGTGCTCAGATGAAAATATAGTCTGTCACACTAAAGCAGATTCTTAACTGTGACCAAGTCTCTCTAGTGTCTTGATAGTTTAAGCACCTCAAAGATAGACAAATTATGTGAGATAGAATGTAATGTACCTTTAAAGCATGCTGGTTTGTTGTGAAAAACCAATAACTTTACAGTTTAGTGGAATATCCTAAATTTGGGGTTCTTAATGATGTTTCAGCCTTCCTCCTTTCTTCCAGAGGTACCAGCAGAAAGGTCCCCTCGTAGACGCAGTATCTCAGGGACCAGTACATCAGAGAAACCCAACTCCATGGACACTGCAAATACCTCACCCTTCAAAGTACCAGTAAGTGTTTATCTTCTTTATAAGAATATTTTACCTTTCTCCTTTCTTCTTAGAGTTAGAGACAGCTACTAAGGAATCCAAACATTTTTCTCTTCAAGAATTTCTTTATAATTCTGTGATTAAAGGACAGACTCATCAACTTGTATAAATTAACTGTGGTTAATATCAACTACTTTCTTTTTTTTTTTTTTTTTTTTAGACGGAGTCTCAATCTGTCAGCCAGGATGGAGTGCTGTGGTACAATAACACTCACTGCAGCCTCCACCTGCCAAGTTCAAACAATTCTCCTGCCTCAGCCTCCAGAGTAGCTGGGATTACAGGCACATGCCATCATGCCCAGTTAATTTTTGTGCTTTTAGTAGAGGCAGGGTTTTACCACGTTGGCTAGGCTGGTCTCAAACTCCTAACCTCAAGTGATCCACCCGCCTCGGCCTCCCAAAGTGTTGGGATTCCAGGCTTCAGCCACCATGCCCGGCTGTCCACTACTTTCAGTATAATATTTATGAGGTTTTAGGGAATATTATTTTTACTCACGGGGTACTCACAAAATATGTAAAAATATTCACAAAATATGAATAAGTTCATATTCCTTTCAACTGTAGAGTTCAAATCCTTGTAGACATTTTTTTACCAAGTTGCTAGCAAAAACCTATCACAATGCTGTAAATGAGCTGGTGGGAGGTTTTTTTAGGAATGGGATGTAATTTTTTTTATTTTTCAAAGCTGGAGCATAAGCAGAGAGTGCTGAGACTCATAAAGTTGCAGACTAAATTCACAGAGAATTAGACAATTGTGAATTCTAATCCTAAGACTTGGTCTGCGCTTTGCTTAAGCTATCTTTTAGATGACCATGGAAGTGCTTAAGAAATACCTTCAAAGAAAGTAACTGCTTAAATTGACCAGGCAGTATTGAGAATCAGCATTAAATACAAAAGAGGCTGGGCTCAGTGGTTCACACTGTAATCCTAGCATCTTGGGAGACTGAGGTGGGAGGATTGCTTGAGGCCAGGAGTTCAAGACCAGCCTAGGCAACATAGTGAGACCCTGCCTCTATAAAAAATGAAAAAAAAAAAAAATTAGCTGGGCATAGTAGTGTGTGCTTATGGTCCCAGGGGAGGCCAAGGTAGGAAGATTGCTTGTGCCTAAGAGGTCAAGACTGCAGTGAGCCATAATTGTGCCACTGCACTCAAGCTTGGGCCACAAAACAAGACCCATCTCTTTAAAGAAAAAAAAGTACTGAGATGGAAGGGTCATATGTGATCAGGTCAGCTGACCATCAGTTACAGACCTATTTTGGACTTTTTTGATATAACTGTGAGTAACCAATATTTTAAATCACCTATTTTCTTGGATAAGAAATATATTTATTTCCTAATCATATCATTTTATTAAAATTAATTATTTTTATACTTGAAAAGAATTGCTTCATGAGATTAGTCATTATTCTAGGCACAATGAAAATCAGTATAAGGTAGAAATAGAATTTTCTATTTGGAATAAAAAAGATTTCTCTTAATTCAGCCAAATTAATATGGTATAGTCTGTCTTTATTCTAATACTTTTTTAAAAGTTGGGATGACCTTTTAAGTGGAACTGATTTTTTGACATATATAAATTGGCATTCATTCATAAGATAACCAAAATGAGTGTTTTATTTTGTGTTAACCCTGAGGAGCAAGATTTTCCCTTGTTGTATCTCAGGATACAACTCTTGAAGAGTTTATGAATAGCAGTTACTGTGAAACCTTTCAAATTTTTACAAATGTTCTCATTTTCAAAGATTACAAGCAAGTATTGGATTAATATTCTAAGCAAATTATGACAGGAATTTTAAAATATCAGATTTAGTTTCTTTTACTACATTTTTTGTTCCATAAACATAGCTACCTATTTTTTATTTTATTTTTCTCATGAATGAAGAAAAACATTTATTTTTCACCTCCTCCTCTTGTTTTTTGATGATGCAGAAAGAATAGAGTAAAACTGACTGTCAGTATGCAAAGTTTGGTGAAAAGGATTGAGTTAGAATTTGAAGTTTTCACACCATCATGCTAGAATGGAATGGTGACTCTTAAATTTTTTTGAAAAAGTTGGTAACAGGATGAATATCCCTCTGCAATATGGTAACGTCAAAGCATATCCTATATTGAGTCTAAAGTTCATGGCCAGGCTTTGAAAATCTGAATTAATTAAGAACCATAATTTTTATTTAAGTTGATGACTAATTTAAGATGTATCTTAATATGACTAATAATTCTTGAGTGAAAATTATAAACATAATGATAAACACATATGAAAGCTAACATTACTTACAAACCACTTACTCTTCTGGCAATCTCAACCATGTTGTAGATTTAGAAATAATGAGGGAAGAAAAGGGCCTCTGACTAGCAAATGACAGTCACAAAGCCCATGCACCCATGCACTTAACTCTCTAGGAGAATGTAACCATTCACAGGACCTCACCTAAAGAGTTTTCTGAAAAATAACCATTAGAACACACTGATTACAACAACAACAAAGAAATGTCAGTAAGTAAAAGGACGAGGCAGAGAAAATGAAAAGCAGAGAATGATAAAAACAATCCAAATTCACTTAGGATAAAGGCAAACAGCCTTACATTTAAATTAGACCTTAAGGATATTACTGTGTTCCAGGGTGGTCTATAGTGCAGAAATCAACATTGATAATAATGATCCTGAGTCATCAAGAAAAAGTGAGATTATATTTATTTTGCTATTTTTTTTAAAAGTGGAACTGTGTTATATGACATGTGTCCATTGAGAATATTTAAAATGTTGAAGATATGTGATGTTTATAAAACTTGTTATCCAGAAAAGTGGTTTGTGAAGTACCTCATTCCTTGATCATGCTAGATAAATAATTTATATGTTTTTTAAAGAGAAATCAAAATATGCTGGCTAAATGAGGCACTGCAGTACTTGGATATCTGTAAAAATACATTGTATTTTGTTTTTAATTTTCATGTAATACCAATAGTAGTGTGATTTACATCACTTAAATATATATTACTAATTAGAAGAATGTCTAATTTTCAGGTCAACACACAATACATTTATAATTAATATCACAGTGTACTCTCCGAATTTGGGAAAGCAGTACAAAGAGGAGTCAGACTTTGAGATATTTAACTTAGAGTTGTTTATACAATATCTCAGATCGTTTCTATGTTAACTTGATGAAGAGACAGAACCAGTATTTTACCACAAGTACCAGTGGTTCCAGGATTCAGATGTCATTACTATGGTGAGCAGTAGGTTTACCACTCATCAGTTGGACCCCAAAATTATAGTAGTGGACCCTCAAAAAGGACCTTATTCTTCCAAGCTCCATTTTCAGACTTACTGAGAGCAGATAAAATAGATTTTAACAAGTCCTAAATGAAATTATTTACAATGACACACTTATTGAATGCTTACTTTGGGCAAAGTATTGACGATTCATCAGTTGATACCTTCTTGGCATACTGTGCTTGGTACAACAAAGTTTTCCATTCTGAGACCCTATATATAGCCTAGTAGCACGAGATAGAAAAATGACCAGATTCATAAATAGGTGAGCATGGTAACACAAGTTATTAGTAGCCCAATGTGTAAGTTAAGGCTTTGACAAGGAGCAGCATTTGAGCAGAGTTTCAAAGGCTGAAAAAAAATAATTGACAGGGTAAGAAAGTACTCCAGGCTGCGGGAATGGCTTTTTTGATAGACACACAGTCATGGGATGACTGGTGCTTCCAGGGATTATAGAAAGAACTCAGTGAGACAGGAATTGAAAAGTATGTGAGCAAAAATGGCAGGTGAGAGGACCGGAAAGGTAGGTGGGGGCAAGACTGTGATTAAGTTTGTTCATCAAACTTAACTAAATTATACTTGCTGCTGAAGCATTAAAGATGTGTTTATTGGAATATTTGCCTTTGGCTCTAAAGCTAAACAAAGTGGCATGAATACTGTGAAATATGGGTAAATTACTTGACTCTTCTCCTAAGTGAGTCTTTTTTCCTCTTGTTGTCACTATTCCAACTCAGGGTGATAGGTAAGGGGCTATCATTCAATAGAAGGCCAGCCCAGCACTCACCCCTGGCCTTTCAGCTGATACTACTGATTTTTCTAGAATAATATTTAGCCTTAAGGAGATCAAGGAGAAGCCAGAGGGTAAAGATCACTCATATCCTGCTGGTTGATGCCAAGTAAGGCAGAAAGAAGAATAACCATAACAGTGAGCTGAAAGCAGGGAACCCCGAAAAACCTTTGTAAGTCTTCCTCATTCACAAAAATTTATACTTTTAAAAACTTAAAATAGGCAACTGGTACAGCAGGGTATTCATGTATAATAACATTCAAAATGAGGGAAGAAGAGGAAATTTATTTGGCTACTGAACCTATAAGTTAACGCAGTGTCTTGGTTTTCAGCAATATTTAAATGTATTTGTACTCTTATCTATCATAGCCGTAAGAAAAAGTAGTGATCTACAGCAGTGGTCCCCAACCTTTCTGGCACCAGGGACCAGTTTTGTGGAAGACAGTTTTTCCACGGACCAGGGTTGGATTGTGGGGGATGGTTTGGGGGTGATTCAAATGCATTACCTTTATTGTGCACTTTATTTCTGTTATTATTAGGTTGTAATATATAATGAAATAATTATACAACTCACCATAACGTAGAATCAGTGGGAACCCTGAGTTTGTTTTTCTGCAACTAGATGGTCCCATCTGGGGGTGATGGTAGACAGTGACAGATCCTTAGGCAGTACATTCTCATCAGGAACACACAACCTAGATCCCTCACATGCACGGTTCACAATAGGGTATGTGCTTCTACGAGAATCTAATGCCACCGCTGATCTGGCAGGAGGCAGAGCTCAGGCTGCAAGTGTTGGGGAGCAGCTGTAAATACAGATGATGTTTTACTCACTCACCTGCCGCTCACCTCCTGCTGTGCCGCCCAGTTCCTAACAGGCCACAGACCAGTACTGGTCCATG